GGTGTGAAATACGCGGGCACGCCCGGCCTGTTTAAATTAATATTTAAAAGACTTCCCGACGATACATTGTGTACGGAGGATGACAAACAAAAGTACAAGAGCATACTACTCGCTACTAACGCTCACAGACGCGGTCATAACGCGCATTTACCTATTTTGGGAAACAAAGGATACAAATACAAACATATCATCACACCTCTGATATCTAAGAAAGGTGGAGGTGTTGCACATCTCGACAAGAGAGGTGCGGGTCGCACGTTACCCAAGTGTAACATACCACAGACCATGACTGTGACCGACAACGCGGTCGATTACGTGCACTGGGATGATCCGAACGAATTGGTGGATCGCCTTCGATTGCTGGACGCTCCCGTCAGGCGGGAAACAACGCGCACGACAACGAGTTTCTCTCGATTATCGAGGAACTGCGCGAAGCTGGTCTGATTATAAATTGATCACAGCTTTTCAACTATCGCCAGTATTGCTCGTGCGATGCTACAGGAATGTCTATCAACAAATTCGGATTACAGCTAGGAGGAGGAAGCGACAGGGTGACGAGACAGAGCGGCGGAGTCTCGAAGAATTACGTGCGCGAGAATTGTCTCTGCAAGGATGGTGAGGTTTTCAACGCCAAGTCACGTGTAATCAGACATCTCGCCGACCCTGAAGCGGACACCGACTCCGTCAACAAACTGCATCTGGATCATCACCTCAGCTTATGAGCGATCGTGAAAATCGAGATCGTATGCTCTATGAAAATTTTAAGCGAGAAGTACTTTCGAGACTCAAAGATTCGGAGAATACCGAGCGAACCTGGAAGAGAGACCACGACGATTACATCGAGACCAGATACGTGGCGTTGGAACGACAGATTCACGATCTGAGAGGTCTCCTCGACGAGAGTGTAGCGCGACTCGATGGAAAACTCGTCGATCACGAGCGAGAGACGAAGAGTCTTGTCGAGCGAGAGATTCACAATCTTCGTAGAGCTGTGAAAAAAAATTTCATCGAATATTACGATGAGGCGATGAAGAAGAAGAAGAAGCAAAACGAATCGCAATGAGCAAGAAGGAAGCGGTGAGCCTGGAGAGGAGATCGCTTGTGGACGAGCTCCACGCACCGGCGGGAAGAAACTTTACGCGTAGGCCAGTCGTCGTGAAAGGATACGACGATTTGTGGCAGGCTGACATTGTCGAGATGAGACCGTACTCGCGATCCAACGGCGGCTGCAACTACATTCTAACCGTTATCGATGTGTTGAACAAGTACGCGTGGGCCATGCCCTTAAAGACCAAAGGTGGAATTGAAACGTCCAAAGCATTTTCCACGATATTTAGGGAGAGAATTCCGAAAAATTTGCAGACCGACCATGGAAAAGAATTTTACAACAGAGATTTCCAAAATCTTGTCAAGAAACACGGCATCAATCATTATTCGACATACTCGGTCATGAAGGCTTCGGTGGTGGAACGATTCAATCGCACGTTAAAGAACGAAATGTGGAAGTTTTTTACGCTCACGGGATCGTACAGGTGGATCAACGATTTACCGCGATTGGTCTCGGAATACAACGGTCGTAAACATCGTACGATCGGTATGCGCCCGATCGATGTCACTCCCGAGATCGCAAAGGGACTCTTGAGCACCGTGTACAGTAATATAAAAATTGCCGCGCCTGCGAAATTCAGGGTGGGTGATTCGGTGCGCGTGAGCAAATTCAAAACTGTATTCGAGAAAGGATACACGCCGAATTGGTCGACAAAGGTGTTTAAGATCGCCACGATGCAACGTACCAATCCTGTGACGTATCTGATTAAAGATTATCGCGGAGATCCAGTCGCGGGAGGCTTTTACGAGTACGAACTGCTCAAGACCGCACAACCCGACGTTTATCTCGTGGAGAAGGTGTTGCGCCGAAAGGACGATAAGGTGTTTGTAAAGTTGTTGGGATTCGACAATTCGCATAATTCTTGGATAAATAAAGACGATGTATTGTAATAAACTATGTATATTTTATATTGTATTATAATAAACTATTATACATATATACAATAATGTTCTTTATTACTACAACATGTTACAATATATACATTTAAAACTAACAACGATAATAATACATAAAATATTAAACTATATAAATTACTACACATTATTTACAATTGTATCTTGTGATGTCCCCATGGTAGAGTGTCGGTGGAACCGGATACAACGTGCCGCTTATCGTCGTACGGACTGAGCGCGAGCTTCGACTCCGACACGGTGTACACCTCGTGCATCTTTGAGCGGATGCACGATTGACACCGCGTCAGCTCGATTTCGTCGTTGAGACACCGAGTGTAATCGACGAACGTTATCGTTCTAGCGACTACATTTTTCTTTACGCCTTTCACCTTTTTTGTATCTTTTGTCTGGTGACTCTCAACGCGTACATCTTCGCTCTCAGTCCGACAAATTCCGATCGCGCCGTTATTCTCATCTTTCATCAGACCGGGTACTTTCTTGTTGGCGCGCGGTATACCGTAAACGTTGTCCTCGGAGTAGTCGCTCGTGTCGAATTTGGATATATCGCGTTTCATATCGTGATATACGTCCTCGCAATGTAGAAAGTATATCAGACTGTCGGTATCGGTATACAAAATTTTACACTTGTCGCGGTAGAGACGCCATGTACTCGTAGTGAAACTCGTACAAGCAGGTCTTGGATATGTCGAGGATACACATACCCACGTAGATCGGCTTGTTAAATTTCACTTCAAGTTTTCGCAACTCTACGGCGACTAGATTCTCCGAGAACACGCTTCGACTGTGGAAATTTGGTCTGGCGATCAAAGCCTCCGCTCCGTACCGACCCTCCCATTGTGTAACGAGCCGTACATCCGTGTGATTTCGCACATTCTCTATGGTTTTGCCAAAAACCGCGTTGTTCATCAATTTGTATAAATTTTTCTCGAAATCGTTTGTCGCCCGTGTCCAAAACTGCGTATTTAATTTTATGTATCTGCGGAGCCATGGAGATTGCACGAATTGCAGTACGCGGTGAATCTTTGCAATTCGCAGACCATGTAGCACGCATTGCTGTAGATTACGGTAGTGGATGACATAACGCTGCTTATCGTACAGCGTTGCGAGTAACTTGACCTCCCGCTTGCCAGGCGGCTTATCGCGCGTCGGGCAGAACGGCAGGTCAGAGTGCGCGTCGTGAAGATTCACCGGATACTCGAGATCGACTTCCAGCACGTAACCGGTAACCGAATCGGATGCAACGGACATTACGTCAAAGTTTTCGACATTTTCGACCCATCGAAATTTGGCGTAGGGCAGCGGTTGACACATTGCCCACCCGCACAAGTTGTTTACATCAAAGTACATTAAGTACGATGACGGTTCCGATGGATCGTACGATGGCATGTATTTGTTGTTGGCGGCGGCGTATCGGTTGGAGCATTGGCTGAGACCGCCGCGTATACCACGCTCGACAAACAGCACCATATCGATGTCCGTGAGCAACTCGAATTTTACGCGCGTGTACTTCAACATAGCGTCCCACGTGTACCCCGGTAATGTGTAATACTGAGCGGGATCTAAACCGTAACTCTTTATGGACACGTGTTTCGGAAATTTTCGAAAATATCCGCCAACAAAAGAACGTCTGTTTTCAAATACAAATCGCTGTACTGTCCAAGAGTTTCGATCGAAAAGGTTTGCCAGACGTTTGTCGCATGCGCGTAATCGCTCTCGGATACCGTTTCTCCGGTGAGCAAACTGTAAAACGATTCGCGCGATGGTAGGCTTGTGTCTCGGAGCTTGTCGACGCTGTCGATGTACTCGTAGGGAAACACGTCTTTCCGAGTAAGCAAATTGAAATGTTCCGCGGATAAATGATTGAATTCCGATCGTGAAATTTTTAATTCATCTATAGTTAAATATGATGCCAATTTGTCGAAACTTGTACTGAGAAATCTGAATGAATCGATGAATCGTAATTTTATACACAATTTTGATTTTTTATCCTCGGTTTCTTTAACATTTTTAGTGAATGAAATGTAACGTTCTTTCGTCAGCGGCAGTAAATCAATGTTGCCTTCAAAGGCATTGGCAACGTCTTTAATAATGAAATGCGCGTCGTAACCGGATAAATTGTGAAATATCACCGGGATAACGTGGGAGTCTTTGTAATTTAAATTGCACGACGAGTGCGCGGCACCGCGGTAACGCCCGGTAAGATGACAATGATCGCGCACCCGCGTATCATCCGGTGTAAACGGTTTCTCGCACACGTGGCACGTCGCGGTGCTACGGAATTTTTCCGATTCCTCCCGTGTAAGATTCGCCATGGGGACGACGGTGATGAGGATCGTTTTCACACGGCGCGCCAAATCGTGGAGTTCATTGACGAACTACGCCACGCAATCCTCACCGCGATAAGACTTAAAACTAGATAAAGAATTATCGTACGTACAACTTACATAATATCCTACACTAAACGCCTTGTGATGCTGATAGGCGTATGTGGTGCCGTCTTGTCCATCCTTCTTCTCGAGCGTACATTCGAGATCGGCGTACACTACAAACGGGAGCCGCTCCTTCCGGTTGTAGTTGCTGAATGTCAGCCACTTGTTATCCTCGCTGGGGAGAACGACGGCGCAATCGTTCATTTTGCCGCAATCGACGCTGTGCGCCGATAATTTCTCCTGTGTATAAAAGTAATGTAGACACCTGTAATAATTTGTGTGTATGATTAATAAAGTTTCGAATTATTTTATACGTATATTTTACTTACCGATCGCAAATGTACTTTTTGCCATTTTGCTTGCTCAATTGCGAGCTCACCAACCGCGACAGATCCTTAATGCACACAAAATGTGCATCGTTGTTTCCGTGCACGTACAACAAATTGACGTGCTTCTCCATCTTGTCGTTGGCGAGGCGCAAAGGGATGATTTTGGAGTCTTCCATAGTGAAAACGTTGACGGAGATGGTGTTCAGTTTCTCAAACTTTGAAATTTGCGGAAGCGTCATGGGGAACTCTATGCCGCACAAGTTGAGCACCGTCGAGTAATGTGGATATTCGATTGTTCTTTCCGGATTTTTTTTTGCAGGATACAAGGCTGCTACCACTGCCCATGCAAAGCACGCATTATCGTTTGATTTCACGTTGACCACCGCCTTTTTTAACATAATTTTCCGCGATAACTCGATGTGGCATCCCGCGCGTAGAGGATTCAACTTGTTAACATTGATTGTTAGGTTCAGGATACGTGACAACGCCCATCCGCTGTTGCGTTCCTGAAACTCCTCCAGAGATGTCTGTATGACGTCAACCACATGCTTCGTGTACCACTCTTGTAAATCAAATGTTGGATGTATCTCTTGATTCTTCGTGATGATGGTCTTCACGGCTGTCTTGTCACCCGCGATAAATTCCCCGTTGAACGCGGTGTTGATTTTAACGTTCCCATGCTCCGCCATGACGCTCTGGATCCGCTCAATAACCGTATTTCTTATATTTTCCAAAAATTCACGAGGATCGATGAAGTCGGAATTGACAACCGCACCCGTCAGCACACGGTTCCTAAACGCCGTCTCGATCTCCTTCCACGTGTAGCCCTTCTTCTCGTATCCGCCGTATCCAGCACCGATGGGCACAAAACGCTCATGCAGGGTGTTCCTCACACCCTCCAGACGCACAATTTGCGCCACCAGAGAGTTGACTATTCCGGTTCGTTGCTTCTTGCAACATTTTTCCCTCAGAGAATCGAGGTACTCGTCGCACTCGTAGTCCCATGGTAAGAACTCTCCCAACGTTTTAATGTTTGCAGCTCGAACGGTGAGATCGCGCTCCATTTTGAACAACTGTGACAATTTGTATTTTCCGCGAGCTTTTTATACCCGCTCGTTGCACATGACACTAATTAAAAATATCGATGATGTCACGCAAATTGAAATCTGGCAACATGGCGCCTAAAAGTGGCTGCCTAAGAGCCTATGATCTAAAAATATCGATGATGTCACACAAATTGAAATCTGGCAACATGGCGCCGCCTAAAACTTGTGTAAACAATCCTTATCACCCCCTCCATTGTATTTTCTAAAAATAGCGATGATGTAATTTCTATAGGCGCTCTACTTTGATGCGTAGATAAAACCTGCACGAACCTGCAAAGGATATAAACAATTCTCGGAACTATGAATCATTTTTGTATAAACAATCCTTATCTCTCTATGACTCATGCTTATATAAACAATCCTTATCTTATCTTTTCCAGGAATTGATGTAATCCGATACCTTCCCCTCTCCCCCTCACCTCCCTCGTCACCCCCTCTACTCCAAAAGTGCTGACGCAGTGTAATCCGATACCCTTTGTATAAACAATCCTTATCTCTATATGACTCATGTTTATATAAACAATCCTTATCTTATCTCTTCCAGGAATTTATGTAATCCGATACCTTCCCCTCTCCCCCGCATCTCCCTCGTCACCCCCTCCACTCCAAAATTATCCCCTCTCCTCCAAAACGGTGACGTCATTACCCCCTCTCCTCCAGAATTACCCCCTCCACCTCAACCTCTTCTCCCTTCACCCGCGCACCCCCTCAGATGCCTGAGTCAGAACTCTCATAGCTATCAAGAGACACGGCAATGTCTCGCGCCAAGTTCACGCGCAGCGCAAGACCGACCGTGTATCTTTACGCGAGACCGAAAGTTGAGACGAGCCGAGATTATCGGATCTCAGTAATGCCTGAGCCGATCGATTTAAAAATAGGCTCAATCGATAGCGCTTACCCAAAATATATAATAAAAGTATGCTTGTTTTTGCTCTATATGCTGTATAAATAAAGATATTAAAGTCTAAAGTCGAAATGTCATAAAAACTATGAAAATTATTTCAGTCGTCTGGGATGTACTTTATAAATTCTTGCCGATAGATGGCTAGTATCTCAGATGTACACATATCGGCATGTATCGCCGGCAACGCATGCGCAAGCCATGTACATGCGAAGCGCGGAGCTCACATGTACAATGTGACTTGCGCATATATGCGGTAATCCTTTCATTCCTGCTGCTGCTGCTGCTGTTTGTGTCTCAAATCTGGCCACATAGCGGTATACGTGTGTGAAATAAAATATGTGTAATACTCCTACATTGCTGATTGTGCTTGAGAGTTTCGAAAAATATTACGGTGCGAATGATATTTGTTTCTCACTTTAGAGCAGACTCTGTGCGTTGTGCGCAAGCGTTGTACCTATACATATATCCCGTACGCAGGCTACAGACGTCGCGCACGTGCAGAACGGCCAAATCGTGGTAATATAATGTAATATCTGCTAGTTTCTATTTTTTATTGTCAGTATAAATTGTGAACATGTTAAAAATAATTATATATGTAGTATATTGTTTTTAAATAACTAATCAAATGAATAATACGTACTAACATATTTAATTAATTATCTAACTCATGTACTCAATGTATTTGAATATCGTTTTTGAATGCCACTTATAAATTGCAAATTTAATTTAACTATGTAATACGAGTTTGTAATTCTATTTATACCAACTATAATTAAATTATTTATTAAACTGAAAGAGATGATAATAGGTCAGGGCCTAATAGAGACTAAATGAAATAGATAATTATAAACGTTGTAATATATACAGGGTGTCCCATTTAACTTGAGACAACTAAATATTTCGAAAAATAAGCATTGTACGAAAAAATGTCCCAAATAAACTTTTAATATTATCAAGTGGGACGTCTGCCTGTGTAAAAATTAACCTGCCGCCACCGCTCCTTGGGGGTGGGGCGGTGGCAACTTTGAAATTTTAAATAGGAACCCCTATTTTTTATTGCAGATTCAAATTTCTTGGAAAAAAATACGTAAGTTTTGTCCGAGACATTTTTTCGAATCGTGATAGATGGCGCTGTAATCAGTGAAAATTAGTTTTTGCCATTTTCTCTCACCATCGGGGTGCTTTATTTCGGTGAGTCCCTTCGCCTCTCACTATTCAATTACAATAAATGCTCGAAATGATGACTTTCCATTTCGATGCATTTATTAACTCGAGCTTGGAATGCTTGTACACATGTAGAAAGTGTATCTGGCGTTATTTGTGCGCAAGCATATCTAATACGTTCCACCATGTTTTCTCGAGTATTTGGTACTTTTGTATACACTTTCTCTTTAAGGTAACATAAAATTATTTCAACTTTCAAAATTATTTTAAAATTATTTCAACTTTCTTCTCTAAAGATAAATAATCCATTATTTATTTACTGACATAAAGAACGCGTCCGTAAAAAAACAAGTAGCTAGCGTACGTATTACTGAAATTTACTTGACTTGAAATTTAAAAAATCCAGTTATTGAAGAATTGTTCTGACTTAATTTCTTTCATTTATTTTGTTTCTCCTTTTCAGTATTTTCAGTATTTCAGAAATTTACTACATATGTAGATGCCTCATAGTTTTGGTACGCTAGCTACTTTTTTATTTCCCCAAGGAGCGGTGGGGGCGGGTTAATTTTTATACAGCCAGACGTCCCCCTTGATAATATTAAAATTTATTTGGGACATTTTTCGTACAATGCTTATTTTTCGAAATATTTAGTTGTCTCAAGTTAAATGGGACACCCTGCATAGAGAAGAAAATGATTGGATTGAATCTGATGATGCTTCAATTAGAAAAACACAATGGCCTAGAAACAATATGATACTTACAGAATTTTGTATTTTTGTAACTTAATTAATTAAATAGGACCGTCGTATGCTGTATACTGAAAGTACGACTGGGGTGATAATGGGCCGTCTTTAGCAAAATCTAACTGATATTTCATTATTTTAGCTTTAAAAAACACTGTCGTATATATATCATTAAAAAAAATATCTATCAATTACCTTTTTAAAAAAAAGGTAAAATAAAGGTAGCCAAGTACACGCTCTTGTCACAATCAAAACAAATTACTAAAAAAAAAGAATAAATAATACT